TGTCATTGATCTGGAATGAAAGCGTTAATTCCGGCGAAATGAAGGGCCAGAACCCACCTGACCATGGCTGGCTGAGCCACGTACTAAGTCACCGGCTGTTGATTAGCACGGAAGAAGGGCGAAGAGAGTGAAGGTCAACGGGCTTCTGCCTACACTTTACAACAAAAGCCACGAGATTGAAGACACCGCTTAACAGCGTGGTAGATTACTCACTTAATATTTCGATATTTTAAATGTTTGTTTATTTCAGGCCGATCGGTATTTGTGGCGAGGGGTTGTGTCACAAGCTATGCTCCTCGTGAGGGATTGTTGGGAGAGCAGCAGATTTCGATTGAAGAAGGCGATTGTAAGGTGGGTGAGCAAAACGTTTCCTTCCTCGGAGCGGCTCAGGTGACTCGCGAACCTTTGAAGCTTGTGAAGTCATTCACAGTTATGGCGAAACAGGGCCCGGTGGCCAGGTTCAACCCATATGGTAGTGATGGCACATGACACGAAGACCCCGTCTACAGAATGTTAGGGCATCTTGGTCTGCCAAGGAAAAGCATTGGGAGGGATCGGAAACAGGAGGACGCTTCCATTGATACTGAATACATAAATATTTGTTCCCAAGACACTCTAAGAGTTCTAGGCCATGATAGCGCTGCTACTTTGGAACTGTCTCCAATAGTAACATGTTAACAACCAAACCATTTTTCATTCAAAGGAGTATTCAACACTACTCAGGAACTTCTGGCACCACACGTACTGCCGCTCAGGTGAAATAATTTGGGACTTGACCCTACGCAAACGCTAGTCAGTAATAATCCATGCTTCTCGTGCATTTAGGAGTGCGAGACCGGGAGAGATGAGAATAGAGTATATTTGATAGCTCACGGCGAAATACCGATGTGTTCCGACTAACTGGCTGGGGGATCTCGATGAGTAGCGCGACGTACCACAACAACGTGCTCAATACTGGTTTCTAGACCGTATGCCTTCGGCTCAGAGAATCCGATAAGACTATGAAAGTCACTGATGGTGTGAAATCTCATCGAAACCTACGCATTTAATTTTGAAGAGTTATTTGTCGCTACAGATAAAACATTTTACAGGTAAAAGTTGCCAAGAGTTCACGTCCCCTAAACTGCTAAGTAGGTTTCTAAACATTCAGGAAAACCGGTGATGCCATGTGATCGCCGAAAATTTCGACAATTGGGTCATCTGCTAGCCAACCATAGAGAGCAGAAACGTCGCTTTCGACAAGGTCGAAATCGGAGTAAACTAGTTTCAAACGGTCGATACCAACAGTATCTTCAAGTCCCTTTCGGTCAACTACATAGAATTCTTCGTAACGCTTGATGACCTTGAATGATCGATCGTAGATGGCTTCAGCCGGCCGATGAGTGGCAGCGCCGCACACAAAAAAGTGTTATGTCCCTCGCAGCATCCGGTGAGTGAAGACATCTGCCAACTGAGGTTGAACAGGAGAAGGCCAAACTGAACACATCGCATTTACCAGTCCAGTTACGTGAGACGTTCTATTCACCGCATGTTTGAAAACTGGGTGAAAAGCGTATTCACTCCGTTGGCAAACAGTAGTCCTATAGACAGGTTCCATGGAAATACATCTAGCATCAGGTTTCAACGCGCTTCGAATGCCTAGTAGGACTAGGAACAGAGCCTCGGTTTAGCGTAGCGTGTCTGCAGCCGAAAAGGAGGCTTTCAGCTATCGACTGAAACATCCTGCCACGCTATCTGCTTGTGCTTGGCGGACCGTCTTTCGGAACCGAGTAAGACCCAAAAGTACCGTTAAAGCTTAAGATAGTCCATACTCGAATTGGCGTCCACGGTGGATTGTAACGCGAGATGGACATCCGAAGATTGCTATCTATCTTTTGGCGAAAGCATGGGGATGGTTTCGGCAGTAATATCCTTGGTAAGTGCTGCTTATGGCCACCTCGTAGGACGACCCACGCGGCTGAACGAGTAAGCACATCCATTAAATTCTAGCACGGGTCCAGTAATATCTACATGGACGTGGTCGAAACACATGTCCAGGGCTATAGAAGAACCTAATGAGTTTTTCGGGTGTTCTGCGATTTTACACTTTTGGCAAGCTACGTCTTTGTTCGGTCCAGTATTCCAGCAGAATAGTTGATTGATGGGCCTGATGGTGGCTCGTACACCTGGATGAGACAGTTTGTTCAAGATTTTGAAGACGCTGCATCGACATCTCTTCAGAACTGTTGGTTGTGGTTGACCGTCGGGGACATTGCATAAAACTGTACCTCTACCTAATCTTACTGGACACAATCGAAGCTTCAGATTTTCGGAAGATGGTCCACGGTTCAGCTCAAGAGCTTCTCTTTGAAACCGAGCTAATTCAACAAGATCAACACCTTCGACACCGCTTATCTTAGCTATTCGAGACAATCAGTCGGCCACGGGGTTATCTGCTCCAGAAATGTGGTGGATGTTTGACGTGAACTGAGAACATATAGCAGCCGTAGCGACTCTTGCAGAGTGCTTATAAGATGCCGAGGCAAGAGAGAAGGATGGCGGTTTGCGGACTTTGAAAGTGATGAAGGCACTACCTTCGACCGAATGCCGAAAATGGCATACAGAACAGTGCATTTCTAGAAGTCCCCTGCCAAACGTACTGTTCCTTGTTTCCGCCTCCTGGCACATACCTTTGTTGTCGATAATATGCACGAGGAAGCTGAGAGATTCGACCCGTATTTCATACTTCTGTACGTTGACTGTAATGCTGTGCTTTTTCAGTCTGCTGAATGCGAATTTTTGAGATGAATGCCCTCATCAGGACTTGCATGAGATAGTCGTCGGCGTAAACATGGACAAAATCCAAACCACGGAAGATATTGTCCACAAAGAACTGCAGTGTTTGTGCTGCATCCCGAAGAACAAAAGGCATGCGCCGGGATTCAAACAGTCCAGAAGGAGTAATGATGGCTCTACCACGACATCTACTGCAATAGGTATCTGATTGTACGCCTTGACCAGATCAACCTGGGAGAATGTGTTCACTCCGCATAAAGTAGCGGTCACATTGTCAATACGAGGTGTCCAGTAGCAGACTAGTGTTGTTATGGCAATAAGGCGTTGTGATCACGGGTGAGACGCTAGTCGTTGTGATCGTTGTGGGAACCATATACAATGGCGACACTTAAAGACTATTTGACAGCACGATGATTCCTGGTTCAAGCATATGATGAAATTCGTTTTTCTCAGTTTTCGGCTTATCAGGAGTCAAATGGCGTGCTTTGGGTACCACAGATGGGCCTGCGGTTCTGAAGTGATTTGTACCATCTCCGGTTGTGCATAGTAGGGTGTGTTAGTCGTCGTAACTAGATATTTTTCTACAACCGTCTGATAAGGGGGCGTCAGCTGGTTGTCTATTTCGAACTATGGCCGACTACGGTTGCCGCTAACGATTGCCGGTGAGGCAGTTTCCCGAGCGTGTATCTTTGTTGAAAGTGCATGGTTTTCGACAATTTCTAGCTTCATCGCCATGGATACTACGAAACCAACACCATTTAGGGTTTCCACCTTGTAAGTTTCAGTTGTTGAACAACCACATAAATTGTCTCGACGGGATGAGGCGCATTTCTGCATTGTACTACGTAACCTATGGCTCCGGATTCTCAGAAGCTGTCTGAAAGAGTTGCGTAGTCCTGTTGCTTCCGAATCCCGGCCCTTATTTTTTAAGTAGACTTAATATACGTTGGAGACATGTCTGCTGGAGACCCATGACATCCTATCAGCTGAGGCTGATAAGTCATCGACTGCAACCGACCGAAGTGTCACCAATACGGTTTGCAACGGTTGTGGTATTTTTGGGGGAAACAGTTTCCGAGAAAGGTCATTATTGAACTTCCGTTGTCCAGCAACTTCTCATATGCGTGCGAGCACACCAGCAGCTGAGTTGTTCCCTAGCTCCATGTTACGATGTAACGCATCTAAGCGTTAGCGGTCCGTGAGAAAGCTTATCTACAGCAGTATCGCCACGAGTAGTGAAAGGGGATCGCTTACTTCAGGGTTAAACATGTGTGCTGTAATGTGCCGTTTAATTCCAACGGTAATGATAGTATGGCAGCGAGGAATCAGGAATGCGAATCTGCGATTGCTGTTATCAGAAGTCTGCTTCGGCATGCCGAAAATAAGTTTCTGCATTGTCTGACAAGTACGGAACGAGCTGAACGATGTTCGTTGTCGGTTTAAAGAGATTAACTGTTGGAGTATTGTCGGACATAGAATGAAGTTTAATGTGGAAGTATCAAGGTTATAATTATGGAAACGAAGATGTCCGATTCTTCTCGTACGAGCCTGACAAACACAGAGACCAACCACGAATTATTCCAACTCTTAATATACCCACAAATCCGAGACCAAGTGAGGATGCGACAGTGTAGTCTGATGGGAGTATTATATTTGAAAGATAGTGCCAAAATACAGATGTGTTCTGATTAGCTTGCCAGAGAATTGACTACGAGCCTTGCCATGTAACACGACATCAGGCCAAATGGCGGGGATATTTGACCATATGCCTTCAGCTTAGGGAGTTCTATAAGACTGCGCAGTTGAGCATAAATGCTGAATCTAATTGAAATATAGGCTATTGATTTCGAGGAATTACGTGCCACTTCATACCACAATGGAATTGCATGCTCACAAGGATGAGTCTCTCGCAGTTAATTGTGAACCAATGGAACTGACTGCCAGATAACATAATGCTTCTACACTCCCTGTTGCTACCACGCCAGTGAGATAAGCCTTCAGTAGTGCTACTAACTGCAATAATTACAACGAGTCATCAGTCTTCTATCTTCATGCATTAGTACCGAATAACAACGGTTGAATAGTGAAGACCACACATGTTGTTTGGTCAAGTCACAGAGTGTTCGACTTCTTGTGCAAGCTGTGCAGTGCGCTAACTACCAGTTGTGTAGTGTAGTGTAGTGTGGTGTAGTGTGGTAGTATTTTCCTTTCACTGTAGGTGGATTATGTCAGACAGGTGAGTCGAAGTGACTTTTTATGGTGATCATATGTTGTGGACCAATCATCTGTGGGACTTTCACCCTTAACAGATCACATCCACACTACGTGATAGCACAGTTTACTGATGAGACTAAATGGATTTAACTTTCAGAGGTTATTGGGGTCCACCACCACGTGGACGTAGGTCGGATAGTGGTCGTGGAGGTCCTCGGCGTGGAGGCAGACCTAGTGGGAATGGGTAAGTCTGAGTTACCATACTTTTGTTAAAGTGGTTTATTTGTTTTTTCTTCAAAGTTAACAAAGCATTGGTTTTCTGATATTTATATTCATCAAAAGTTGGTATGTTAACCAGTCTTCAGCTATACCCATGACGTGTGTATATTTGTGACTTTCGTAGATTGCAGCGGAGTGATTAATCAGGTCAAGCATTTGCCTTCTTGTGTCATGCATCACGCTTCGAAGAGGCAGTATTATAACCTCGACAAAAGACTCTTGACACGTACTGCATGTCTGTCGGCAGTTTCACGAATGCTTTGGTTGACTCAAAACTGAAAGCCGATGAATGTTGTCTCAATCTTGCTGGGTGCAACCATGTGTTGCGATGGAATTTTACTCTTACCCTAATGTTGGTTGTAAGCATCATGATGCCTACAAGAAGTGTAGTTTCGTGCAGTTCAAGACTGAAGACATTTGGTTTGATGTCCTATCCGTCTAGTAAAGTCTGTCGACACTGGATGGTGGTAAATCCAGCAAGACCACAGGACAAATGAGAGGTATGTTACCGAAACTAGAGTGCCCCTGAAAGAGAAGTCGTCGGGTCATCCACACTTGGTTGTGCGACTGTTTGAGTTTGCGCAGAAACGTGTATTAGTAAGATTTCTCGTTATATATACTTAATTGGCTACATCCAGTAAACGTCACAGGTCAAACAACAAACTAATTGTATAGACGGGCCATCAGCTCGTGTTGCTTTTGTGTGCACAGTTGATTGTACAACCCGTGATTATTTGGTTAGTCGTATTGCTTAGCTTTGTTGAATGGTTTCTGTTGAAAAACCCGTTGAATCTTACTTTTGTACGTTATGCAACGAAGCTGATTACTAAGTTTCGCTGTGGGATAATTCTGCCTCACGTAGATAGTTTACTATGTTGATACTAAAATAACTGTGTTTACTTTTAGTTATGGTGATGACCGACAATTTTACGACGGGTAAGTCTTGATTAGCACTGTGTTTTCCGTTTGGTTATTGGATAAGAATAGTTCTTTTGCGATTCGCGGCACTTATTGCAATCGTATTCTTTTTTTCAGACCACCTCCAAGTGCTCAGCGTGGAAGGGGCTGGGGTGGACCGCCACCACCCCCAACAAGAGGATATGCGTGAGTTGTAAATATTTCCGGTAATCAGGTCTCTGAGGTTGATTGACATAGCTTCTCTTCATAAAATAGGTAGGTTTTGCCGAATGTTCTAGACGTGTATATGTTTGTGACGCATGTATTAGCTAGTGAAGTCAGTTGGTGATGGTATTGACATTATGTGCTGTCTGTATTTAAGTACCACAATTGCAGGTGCGACCATGTTCGGTTATATTCTCTGCAACATAATCATCAAGATCAACATGGGACCCAGCATTAGTGAGTAGCGGTCGAGGTCGCCACACCTCATCAACACATGAAGAAACGAGACAATAAGATGAGATATGAAGAAGGAGAGAAGAATCTGTCAAGAAGTGGAAAGAAGTGAGAGAGAGAGAGAGAGGAGGGTGGAAGTAGATGATGAGATTCAATGTAGCGGTTAGGATGAGGATAATGTGTGTAAACATCTGCTCCAGTGACATCGGTTCTGTGCCATGTCACAAGTAGTCTTCAGTCACTGGTTTCTCTTGTACTTCAGACCTTTGCCAATTAGTCTGCATCACCCCACATGGCTCAGATGAACAGTCAAGGACTTCATTCATTGATGCCATATTTTAGTGTGGCCGGTGCGAGCATTTTCCAGCCTGAAACTACTTCGGCCAACATTGTGCGACGAGGTATACGGTGGCTGGGTAAACGTAACACATGTGTCAGTCAATCAGTCAATGAAGGATCATAACCACATCAGTTGTTGTACCTCTCTTGCGTAAAACTCTGCGTCTGACTTCTGCATTACTCACGTGGTGACATGAGGAAACGCGGTTTATGCCATGTTTTACAGCTGTGCAGTGACATAAGTGGTGTTATGAGGTTCGCGTTATTTGAGGCTGTGCATGGAGCAGTTAACCTAGACAAAATAAATTCAATGAGTGAAGTGTGGACTATTTTTTGTTGAAGTCTGTGTAAGAGCGGTTGTCCCCTTAATCTAATCGGGTCAAGTTGGTGAACGTGCGGAACCCATACTTCAAGTATCTAGAGTTCCGATGGCTAGTTCTCATGGTCTTGTAGTTGTTGGGAAAACACTAATTCGTCAGGTGAGAAGTGCACTACTCGACTGGATTAGAGTTGTCATTTGTCTGCGCTCTGTTCTACTTAATGTTGAAATAGGGACCAGAAAGCGTGATAGAATTCGCCGTTGTCTCTTTGAAGTCTTGTGCACCGACTGACTAGCTGACTTCAGGAGGATCAAATATCACAGTCGCGTGTTGTAGGTCTCTTAGTTGTTATATCTTGACTCCACATGGCTCTAAGTTTATTCAGGCTGTTTTCCTCACCTTCAGAACTGTTATATAGCCTTTATGTGCAACAAACCGACTAAAGGAATGTGAAGAATCTAGGTCTAATGTATGGACCACTTCTAAGCGTGGCTCTACCTTAATCCCTTGACGCCTATGTGTAGATCTATTGCATTAATGATAGTGCATTGTTCAATAGCTTCAGCTTTAATACAGTCTCAGTATATGATCATTCAGTGTCTATAGCAACTCGACCAACTCAGATGCAACTGAATAACTGCTTCCAACATTCGTGTATAGTCAAAAAAGTATTTAGTTCTTGCGTAACAGCAATTAAGGTCTTGTATTTAACAATTAGTAGTATGTTGAAATACATTGCAGGTAAAATAACACCGAAAAGTGCACAACCTACAGCATGATGACATGTTTATCAAATGGTAACACTTTGCAGTTAGCTAGACGTTTCACCGCTCATCACACCTATTTACGTATGCATTGTATGTGGATTTCCACCACAATTCAATAAACCAGTTAACCAACTTGGTCCTCCGTATTGCTGATGCCTGCTGTTGTCCTAGAAGCTGATTTTCGGATTCCACAGTGGCAATACGGTACATAATACCCATTAGTCTCAGAAGTCTTATCCACAGGAATCTAGACCAAGTTATCTAACTTTCCAGTGGGTTCCTAGCCATTACTGATACGTATTCTTAATTATGTTTTCGCTTTTCAGCCCACCAAACAGAGGTCCTTATGTTGTTCAACCGCCCCACCAGCCGAGGTAAGGTAACAATTAATTTTCATGTTCTCCCATTTTGTCTTCTATCAAATGATGACTAAGCGTTCTACTCTCTCCTAGGTATTCACAGTCTGCAGAATACCCAATTCAACGTATCCCATCAACAGTTCGGTGAGTTAACATGTTTATTGTTTGTGCTGGTTGACTGGAATCCGTCGTAGGTACATTGAGTCCACCCAGTTGATGCTGAGTGACCGTGTACTGTGTCATCAAACGTTGTGAAGTACTCATTGTACTGTATACCTTGAGGGTTTTCTTCCTTTCTTGTCAAAAGCTAAATCCACTGAGCCCATGACGGAGTGAAAATGATGCTAAGAGGTGCACAAGATATGACGCCATCAGCACAGTGAAATATCAACGAACGTGCAGTAGTAGGGAGAAAGTGGGTTAGGGTGGAGGCAAATAGCCAGAGAGAGGAGAGAAACACCAGGGTAATAGATAAGATTGACTGGGATATCACTTTGAATACGTGGAAGGAGCTTCAAGGTGGCTTTCATCAAGCATAAATGCTTGTTATCTTCTTTTTGTTTGTGTGTTTATAACCGGTTGCTAGGTATGTTTGAGTTGCTAACCTAATGGCAGCGAATCTCATCGTTAGTATATATATATATATATATATATATATTATATATATATATACATACATACATATATATATATATATATATATATATATATATATATATATATATATATAATTCTTGCAGGACTACTGATGTTTCCTCTCTTCACAGGTCACATCGCCATTCGGAAGCTGTTTTTCGAAAGCCCATAGAAAGAACACATTTGCCGTAAGTGTCATAATGTTGGAAGTATTTCCCCTATAGTCCATCCAGTTCCGAATGGACGTCACATCCTCCCTCGGAACAAGGTGATGTTCCATCGTCATCAGAAAGCGAGGTTTCATCTGAGGTTGCTCGTCAAAAGAAGAGTCACCCAAAAGTGAGACCAGTGTGAGTGCTTCGTCATCATGCTCTTGAAATTATTTTCTAATGGTGGTAATTGGCTCGTTATAACATTTTGTATTATTTCTTTCAGGTGTGATCTGTCTGATGCCGTTTCAAAGTGAGTGTGTAAGGATTTTTCGCTTTAGAATTGCAATGATTCCACTTGCTGGGCAGTATTAACGTCGTCATTGACGTGATTTTTTAGATTAGGCATTCAGGGAATTGTCAGGATTCCTGCTAGGCCAGACGAAGGAGGCAAAAGTGGGAAGCGGGTTACAGTTACTTCGAACTGTTGGGATGTCAGTTTTCATCACAAAACTGTGTACATGTACTTTTTGGAGGCGAATTCGGTTTGTCGGATTGATGCGAAAGAAGGTCAGAAGACTGAAGTACGGATGCCTCCGAAGGAGCTGCGCTCACTTATCCAGCAGGTAGCCGACTCGTAAGTGTTTCTTTTGTAAATAGTAAGCATTTTCATGTAGCACAGGTGAGTGGTTTTTAAAGCCTGGTGCCTAATCCTATGAGTTTGCATTCAGATTGAGGTGGTCAAGATTGTATTGATCGAAGTTGTGGAGATGTGATAAGCATGTTTAGACTGCAAGTGATTGATGTGTGTGTGTGTGTGTGTGTGCATGTCTTCAATATTTGCATTGAGACAGATCTCATGAGTGGATTGACTAGTTATGTCTGTAGAGGTCGTGAACGCAATTGCTTTGTGAAGCTGGTGCTCATTGGTTTAGACTATTGACTTTCAAGCAGTGGGTTAGGAGTTGGAACTCTATCCCATCTACTACCAGGTTGCATTATTAGGCGTCACTCAATGAGTGTTAGTTGATCAACTGCCTACTGCGAAAATGTGATGAAGGTTGTTTTTGTGTGTTTATTTGATCTTCTTCTTTGTAATCATCACAGCAGTGGGTGGATTCCATAACTACATTTAACCAAATGGTGCTGATTATCATCAATTGTTCCACATCCCCTGAATCGGTGATGAAAGCGGAATTGTCTGTGATGGTTATGGTTGGGGTCAGAGGTTGGATTGTGCAAAGAAAGAAGGTGTGTCTTGCAGTAAATCGTGATGTGGTTATTTGATGACCTGGAAGTCTTTTCCTTTGTGGTCGAAATGTTTCTAACTGTAAGAGTTGGTGAATGTTGTAGTCGTGTGAGAAATTGATTTACTTCGTCACATGCAACCTCATTAGAAGTGTGTGTTATCACTGTAATGTGTGTAGTTGTACTCAAAGTCGAAGTGTGCCTCAGTCAGTGACATTGTGTATGGTCGTGCATGTTCCCATTTATGGGGATCACTCTGGGATTATGTTGCCAGTATCTCTTGGCACATGACATGTATGTGTGTGTGTGTGTGTTGCTTTGATGTGTAGTTCCACCCTTTCTTCCTAACTCACTGCCTCCATTTGCTTGCACAGTTTACCAGACACCATCATTTACGATGGTGGGCACGCGATATACTCTGAAGATCCTCTGCCGGGTATTACAACAGACCCCGTGGAGAAGGAGATTGAAATTAAAGACCCGCTTGGGCGTGATCGTCTTCTTCTGAAATATCGCATAATGGAAGTGCAGAAAGTGTCCACATCGGATGTTGATCATTTCATCAGAAGTCCGAAAGCAACATCGTTGAACATGCCTCAGGTAATGTTGTGTTTGATTTGGTAATTCCTGCTAGGAGTCGATTGGATTGTTGGATTGCATCTTGAAGAATGTTTCGAAACAGTCGTTTGTATCGCTTGGACGGGCAGCGCTATTTTACGAGCGACCGATCAAAATAGTTGCGGATAAACTGTTCACCATTCACAAGGGCTTTATCAGTAGTGTTCGACCGCAGTGGAAAGTCCGTGTGAATATAGACATGGTGAGTAATGATGATTGAATTGTTTACTGGATTTGTTCGTTTATTCGCACAGACTTGCAAAGCATTTTTTACGTCTGGAAACCTAGCGGATGTGATGTTTGAGAAGTATGGGGACAACATGGTGAGGTGTAGTTCTCAGATGGCGTATGATCTGAGGAGAATACGAGTTGAGACGGACAAGTTTTACAAAAGCGATAGTGGTATGCACTTGTTTTTCTCTTTCGCCTAATATTGTGTTATGTTTCAGGGAATGCGTACTCCCGACGCTTCACCATACACGGGATATCGTCAGAACCAGCGAATCGTCTGATTATTGAGAATGTGAAACAGTCTGTAGCCGAGTATTTCGAGCAACATCATCATATCACTCTGAAGTATCCAGAGCTTCCGTGTGTGAAAGTAATTGTTGGCCTGAGTGTTTATTTCCATTTTCCTAGGTTGATCAAAAGCGTGAGGTTTATATGCCAATGGAGTTGCTGAACATCTTACCGTACCAGGCACCTAATGCGAGTAAAGCTGATGTGGCGAGTGAGGTGATCCGGTGTGCAGCAGTTCGACCACAAGAACGCTTCCAAGAACTTCAGACATTTGCTAACAATATGTTGAAGTGAGTGGTTTTTATTAGCTTGACGAATGTTACTTGTGTGATGCATTCGTGTATTTGTTAGTCGACGTGACGCGACGATAGATGGTATGAGAATTGGTTTTGTTTGTCATGGTGAATATTGAGTGGCACTGTGACTCACTGATTTGCCGAGATGATTCTCAACAGATGGGTCACTTGTTGAAACACTGCTCCACTTGCCGAGGTTCGAACAGCCAGTTATTAGCGTGGTCAGCCTTCACATATTAGTTGTGACCCCAATGTGTACCAGACGAATGTGCATGAGGTTGCCGAGTGCATGAAGTCCATGAATGTTGGTGTGTGAGGCGTGTGGGCTGTGCGACTGGGGTCTCCGAGATGTTAGGAATCAGTAGTGGTTAAGTACTCTTGTTGATATGGCTGAAAATCGTTTGCAGTTATGCAGATGTATTCACTGTTCGCCGTCTTGTACAGCTTGACTATTTGCAGCAACCTTCATCTTCGAATTGTTTATTTTGTCACACTTTGATATCACTCTTATTCTCTCGAATTGTTGTTTGTGTACGTGTATTGTGTATTGTGAAGTGTGGCAACTTGAACTGAACGGATGCATTACTTGTGTGCTAGGTTCGGTTGTAGGTTGATTTTATGTGTGTGGGTGCACACAGACAAACAAACGTGCATGTGGTTGGTGAGTGCATTTGGATTTTTGACAGCTAAAATGTTTGTGAGTTCAATTTCATGTACCTGTGTTCTGTTTTGACATGTTTTGGGATCGAATCGTCTGTTTTGTAGGTCACACCCCTGATCAAACAGTTTGGTTTGGGGATTCAACCGAAGCCTGTGGAGGTTAGTGCACGTGTTATTGATCCACCGAGTGCTGCTTTTGGTCGTTCAGGCGTGCAAGCAGTGAAGGCTGGAAGCTGGAAATCACCTGGTTTCCATGAACCTGCTGGTGATGGAGTGGAGCTCTCCTGGGCAATACTTTGTGTTCCGCCTAATCAGGTATGTTGGTCACTTTTATTTAGTGAGTTGGATAAGATAGACACTGAATGGTGTGTGTAACAGCCAGTTTGCTCGATATGGCGTTGACTGTGTTGTTTCTTCCTTTTCTTTTCCGTGGAGTATAGTTACGCCTAATGATTAGTTACAGGGCAACATAAGTTGTGTTGTTATATTATTAATAGTTATGATGATGATGATGTGATATGAGGCGAAGTGGTTGATATTGTTTTCTGTGGTGATTTTTGTGTGCATCGACCTGTTGTTGTGGGTGGATAGGTTCATTATCTGATGTGCCTAGTTGACGTTAAGAAAGGAGCCGGTGTGAATCAAAGTTGAAACGTGCAAGATGTGTGAGCTATTTTCGTGGTTATGCTATATCTACTACTACTACTACTACTACTACTATCTCCTATCTGGATAAATCAAAATATGTTTAGTAAGTGTGTTATTTTTGTTCTGCTTCCCATATTTATTGCTAGCGATCTCGCGGTCAAGTGCAAAAGGTCTCGTCTGAATTTCCTCATACGGCGAGTCGCTTTGGCGTCCGCTTCAGTCCCCGACCGATTGTGGCACAGTGTCCTAGAGGAGAGCTGAACAGGAAATTTGAGGAGTTTTCCAGACAGGGTTGTGCCTTCCTGTTTCTCATTCTGTATGACGAGCAGGCATACCCGACGATCAAACGACTGAGCGACCTACAGATGGGTATTCGCACACAGTGTGTGCTGAGTCGCACTTTAGACAAACCGAACGTGTTCCGTAAGTGTTCCATTCTTTGCTTAGTGTATGCGACATGTTTGTATGTTTGAGAATGTAATTGAGTTTACTGTTTTTAGCGAACCTCTTGCTTAAGCTGAATGGGAAACTTGGTGGGGTGAACTGGCAGATACCGGATCTGATCAAGAACAGTCAAGAGCTGATAATGGTTTTCGGAGCAGACGTGACCCACCCAGCGCCTACACAGACTCAGCAAGTCCGAAAGTCAATCGCTGCAGTTATTGGTAGTGTGTCACCGGACCTGATGAGATACGGAGTGGTAATCCGCCAACAAGCGACGACGGAGAAGGGAAATAAGGCGGCTAGAGAGATCATTGATGATATGCGTCTTATCGTGAAGGAACTGCTTGAGGTTAGTTAGTATTGTTTTTCAGACTGACTTAGTTTGTTGTCATTGTGCTTGTTCTTGTTGTGTTGTGTTGTGTACGCACACTGTGATTGTTTGCTTGTTTATTTCAGCTTTATTTGCGAAATACGAATGGTCGGTTCCCAACACGCATGATATTCTATCGTGATGGAGTTTCCGAAGGCCAGTTTGAGAATGTGTTGGTGGAAGAGCTGGCAGCTATCCAGAGGGCCTGTACAGATATTCGTCCTGGTGAGGAGCCAGGTATAACTTACATTGTTGTACAGAAACGCCATCACGTTCGATTCAGACCGTCTGACCCCAGGTAAGCATTTTCGGATTTATGTTTGTGTTGTTCGCTTGCAGTGTGTTTTCTATCTGGGTGTTGTTATGATGGTTTCTTTGAATACTTTGTTTTGTAGGGCACGAAATGTGGAGCCAGGAACGGTGGTTGACAGGGAGATCACGCATCCGCGAGAGTTTGATTTCTATCTGTGCTCTCAAGAGGGTATTCAGGTAACTTGTTATGCTGTGTGTGTGTATGTTGATTAATCCTCGTAGGGTACGTCAAAGCCTGCCCATTACCATGTTCTATACGATGATAACAACTGGACCTCGGATGCACTGCAGACGTTTACTTACCACTTGTGCTATTCTTACATGAGGTGTTCTCGGAGTGTGTCGTACCCAGCGCCGACGTATTATTCTCACTTGGCTGCGTTTCGTGCACGTGACTGGTTGTCAGATGTTGAGAAGCCGGGAGTTTTATTGGATGGCAGTCGTTTCAAAGTGCACAGGAGCCAGGTGGATGGGATGTTCTATTTGTAATTTCTGAGATTTCCTATTGCCTTTTAGATGAAATAAATATTATTTGCTTTTCATTGAGACTTCTCAATGAGCCTGAATTGTGAATGATGTCTTGGTGTTTCTGCCTTGTGGAAATCGTAAACATTGGTGTTGTGTGCTAGATTACATGCCATCCTAGGGTGGGAACATACGGGAAAGTAGACAAAGAAGAAGTGTCAAAGCATGCTGGTGGTTATGATGTATATGTGTTGTTGGAGTGCAATCACCACCTGTTCCGACTGAAACATGCGTGCGTGTGTGCATGAAATATTGTCGAGTGTGTAGGAAGAATAAGAATTAAAATATTTGACAATCAATATTGGTAGGCAACAGTGTTAAAATAATAAGGTTGCGTTGAAATCAGACAGGGAAGAATAGGTGAGGAAGTGAGTAGAAGTTTTCAGTAAGGAGGAATTTATCAGTTTCATGCTGGTAATTGTGTTTGAATGAATCTATTTGTGGGTGGGACGATTTCGACTGGTAGAACACTTGTGAATGGTGAAGGGGCCAGTGGAGTAGCTTGGAATGTATCACTACTCATAGAAATGTCAGTTGGTTGAATTCAAATGTGTGCTCTTTGTTTTGAAAGTTTCTTCATTTGATAGGAGTTGTAGAGTTAGCCCAACACAATCCTTGTTATTCATTGAGATTATACCACCACTAAGTATATCAGGGTGTGCCATTGGGCTTTCGTTATTGCGTTTGAATTGTTCCCGTTTGTGTGCTGCTCAGCCAAATGACTGAAGTGTCTTGGTTGAGTGTTTGACAACTGATGAGTATATGAAGTGAGGTATGCACCTTGGTAGTGTGGTGTATACTGTAAAGATGAAGTTGTTAGATGATACTTTTGATATATGCGATTTTCATGCAGAAGTCGAGTGTGGAGTTCACTTGGAAAGACATACACGTGAATTAAGGACGAAGTGATAAAGTTAGCAGTTGAATTGATAACCATTACACACGACTAAGGAGGAAGGCAGTGCTGGCGAGATATCTGTAACGTTGGTTGACTTGAAGTTTTGTCAACCCACTGCAGTTGTTCTGTATTCGCAAACCTGTAATCTGTACGATGAATGAAACCTGGTGTTTCACTCTCAGTTTTCTTGTAGATTCATTAACACTAATTTCTTTGAGACCGAGTAGGTGACCGGTCCAATATTTTTACCAACAAAACGACAGAGGTTAACCGTTTCCTATGAGCGTCTTTTTTCAGATCGCCGAGGCGGCACGAGTACGATCCTCTCTACACATATTTCTTATTCGATAGTAGAGAGAATGAATAGGATCTCATTTCCTATTAAGAGGTACGCAAATATAAAAACTAGTTAGTTGTCCATTCCCTGTTGCTTTTCTGTAGATGGATGTTTTATGGAATCCACTGTCATATATGGTGAGAAGTACATCAAGAAAAGGAATAATTTGGTTGTGATTCCTTCTCCATGGTGAATTTCATAACTGAATGACAGTTGTTGAAGGAACAGAGAACATAGTTACATCAACAACTTTATCACAGATCGTAAATGTGTCGTCCATTTCTCTGCTATGAATGAGCAAAGCTTGAGAGTAAGTTTGTTGAATATCTTGTTTGTACTATGCTGACAAGCTAGTTGACATTGACCAACTCGAGTTATTATCTTTCGTCTATTAAACATCTCTCTGCTTCCCTATTGGTCATCTCGTGATACGTTTCCTCCTTTCATAGATGTGAGAATATCACATTGACATCCCCATGAACCTCAAAACACATTACTGTGTATTCCTCACTGGTGACATGCTTCGAGTTGGATATTGTGAAGTTGTAATGAGAAGCCAGCCACGACCTGTAGGGTCAACCACTCAGAAGTGAAGTGGATGCCAATTAGAGACTTTGTACGATAGTTACACTGTATCGCGAAATGACAGAAGTTGGCAACTGTAGAACATTGCACTTCGACTGTCTGACTGAGTGGTAAACACGTTGATCGTGTAATCTGAAGTCGATGCGTAGTCGTGTATCGCTGAGGAGTCCCATACTGGGACGAGGTAACTGTTCTTAAACCATCGGACGGTGACTTCACAGACTGGTGCCACATGTTTATCTGACCACCCTGAACCCTATCCCAACTTCGTGCAACTCAGCAAGTCGAGGTGGGCGGTGGTTCGGCATGTACAAGCCACCACAGTCGATGAAGACTCACAACCTCGTCGACTGATTTGCCTTTTTTTCTAATGCCTTTCTCCTGACATCAATATTGCTCATGTGATCATTCTACCTAACTACTATAACTTGGTGGTATTCATTCCAGTGTGACTGGTTGTTATCATCTGGTATGTGCCTTAAACACACGAATATTCCATTTAATTATTGCACGTTGTACTTTTCCGTCCGGCATGCAAGGAATAGCAAGTGAGATGTGATTGGTTGGTTAGTTTGTTGAAAAGACGATGTATTTGTGTAACGAGGAGACATTTCTATTGAACTAGAATAATTATTTGTAGCTTAGAAGACTGGCTTCGAAAATCATGATTAGTAGTTGGATAAAATTACTTTTGGAACAGTAATCACCACTCAATTTAGATAAGGCTCAAGATTTATGTGGAACGTGAAGTTTCCAGGCTTGACCCCTATCGGTGGCATGGGTGCCTACTGCAGATAATAAGAAATGTACTCACTGTTTGAATGGTGACAACCGTAATTCAGTCACCTCTGATATTTACAAGGACGGACGTCCCGTTTGAAACCGACATTGAAACAGGATCAGTTGTATTCAAATGATGCGGTACAGACCTCACGGAGTACTGTCCTCCGGAACTCGGATACCAGGTTGTAGAATTCTGTACAACTAATCTCTCCTGTG